CGCCGCCCCCGCGCAGGACTACGCCCCTCGGCCCAGGCCCCAGCGAGGCGCGCGACTACTCCCCGACCCGCAACCCCCAGGAGGTGGAGGCGCGGTAGTCCCCAGGGCCCGGCCACCCCCACCGGCCGGACCGTGTACCAGACTCTTTCACAAATGCACTGCTGTAAACTTTTTTATGTGTAAATTTCTAGAACTTAAGCACAGTTCCACAAATCCTGGGGCGACGCTCGCTTTTCCCGCTGCTGCGGGATCGGGGTTAATCTCCAGCCCCGCCGGAGGTGCGCTCTTGTTTTCGGAGCTTGAGAAGAGGCTTATTGTTGGAAACAATATTCGAGTTTGTACGTTTTTTCCCAAAGGTGAGACGCGTTTTTAATGGATTTGTAATTTTTTTAATTTTGTGCTCTTTAGACATTTTAAAGAAACAACCAAAAAAAAGCATTTGCTTTTCCGTTTTTAGTTCAATTTGCAATTTTTCGGCCTCAGATCCCTCTCGAGAGCCCCAGGGTTCCTTTGTCTTATTTATGGAGAAAAAACGGGCACTTAGTCCAGCGCACTGTGAGGCCAGCCCTGGCCCTCCCGGTACTCGGAAACGAAGCTACAGATATATATTGAAATAATAATAATGTACAAAACTTTGTTTTTTGCCTTATTCTTTTATGCAGAAGTGTAAGAATTCTTTTTTTTTTTCTTAAGGAAATAATTGTAAATAGTCTGTTAATATAAATATATGATGTTATTAAATTCCTAACTTAGGTGGACTTTATAAAAAGTTTCTAGAAACCTCTCTGGTTATCTGCTTAACATGGTCACAAAAAAACCCACGCGCTGTCAGTTGGCAACACTCAGAAGTTTAACTGCAGCAACTCGACTATGCAAGGCCTGAGGCAGGTCTCCGTGGCTATCGGGGAGCAGTTCCACGCCGAGCACCCGCCCACCCGCTGGAACATCCCAGCGCCTGCAGCATCTCGTGGACATCACGGCGGGACCTAGCGGAGGGGCCCGGCCACACCAGGTGGCTCCGGCGGGGGACGCCAACGGTGGCTCCGGCCAGTTTGCAGCGTCCAGACCTGCCGGGTTGACAGCAAGGACGGCTTCTGTGGACCCTTGTGCTCGTTGGCAGTCTTCTCGGAATCTGTATTCCAGCCCAGTAGGATTTTAGACGTGCAAGAGTCTAAAGCTCTATTCCAAACAAAGAGGACAGCTTTTGTACATTTTCTCTCCCACATGAAGGCGTACGCGGATGTGTCTTTGCTGCTCCCCAACACCGGCTCCCAGTCCCCTTTTGGTTTATGGTTTTGCGTTTGTAAGCATACGAGCATCACCGCATCTGGCTGTGAAGCTCCTGTTTCTATCTCCTGGTGTCCACAGCGTCTCTGCTGGGCGTCTGAGCCTCACGGAGTCGCCATCTGCAGCCATGGGCTCTGGTCACTTGTGTACCTTCAGCCCCGTTTCCCACTGTGGACACGGTTCTCTTCAACATTTCTGTTCCCCTGTCGATCGCTGAGGATAAATACAACCTTGATTTTGGATGAAGGGTAGTTGCGTGTTTTGTGTGGCGTTGTGGGAGGACGCAGCCCTGGTGTGCCTCATTTCTCAAATCAGTGCCTGAACAGGCCCGCCAGGTGCATCCGCCGAGCCTCTCCCTGTTAGCAACCTGCCCCGGCAGAGGGCGCCCAGTGGGCCTTAGTCCTGGCTGCCAGCTCCACCTTCCTGGAACCCCTACCCCGCTCTCTAAGCTTCCCACCGTCCTGCTCCAGGCTCTTTGCTCCTGCTCATCCCCCTCCTGAAACACCCGCCCCCTTCCGGCCTTGGCGTGATGGCTTCCAACTTGGGTCGCTTGTCCTGGAGGCCTCCCCCATCCCAGCGGACATCACCCCCCCACCCCGGTCACCTGCCCTGTCACGCCCCACTTAACCTTTGCGTGGAGCTCACCGAATTTACTGTTTCCTCATATACCCCTTCTGGTGGGCCTTGCTCCCCGCTTTCCCAGCACTATGCCCGCACCTAGCAGAGTTGGGGTGCCCCGTGGTGAATGCAGGGACGTGGGAGGGTGCACAGGTGTGCAGCCCTCCGCCTTCGAACGTGTGGCCGGGGCCGAAGGTGTGTTCAGCTCTGGAGGTTGGACCTGACCCGGGCCATGATCCCAGTCCCAGTCTGGCCTTGTGGGGTTTGCTGGGCACGGGGCCCCTGAGGGAGTGTGGAGCAGCCATAGCCTGCTTTTTTGTTTTGTTCCACTTCTGAGTCACAAGGGGAAATTTGACTCGTGGAGATGGAACTGAAGAGCTGTTTTGCTGGCGTCTTCTTGAGGACACTGCATTTATGGTGTGAGATTGGCCTGCACTGCCCCATTGATTGCTGTGACACTCTCGACACTTCCATGAGACAGGAACTCAGCCTGAGTCCCCATCGACCTTGACCCCTTTTTACTTTCAAAAGTAGCTGGTCTCTTCGGCTTTTCTACCTAGCTTTAGAGACTATTTGGGCAAGTTATATATTCTCCTGGGAAATTACCTGCGTTCTGAAGATCGCGAATGCGTTAGCATAGACATTGTACGTGTCCTTTCTATGATTTTTTAAAACCTTCGTCTCTGTGATTTTGTCGCCTTTCACGTGTCTAATGTTTATTGGTTGGTCCTCTCTTTTGTCAATCAGATTATCATAGGCTTCTCCATTTTATTATTGTTTTCAAAGAACAAACTTGGGTGTTTTTCATTCTTTCTCTGTCTCTCCCCTCGCCCCCCTGCTGTTTCTCTCTCCGATGCTGTGGAAGCACTTACTGTGTGCCTCTTCCCACCCCCAGTCAGGACGCAGAAAGGCTCGCCCAGGCTCCACCTCAGCCTGTCCCTCCCTCACTATGAGGGCGACCCGGCCCCTCCGATCCTGACCCAGAGCTGGGCTCCACACGCCCCACTCGGCTCTCACCAAGGTGGGCCCGGCAGTGTGCCTGGGTGGCCTGGTCACCCAGTGTCCCACACACCCTGTGGGTATCGAGACGTGTGCCACAGTGGCGAGAACAGGGCGCTGGCCAGGGGGTGCTGCCGAAACTTTCCTGTTCTCACTGATAGCTCTCATCTTTCCTGATGTAAATAATACATGCCCACGAGCCCCACGCTCCTCACCGCTGCGTTATTAGACCAATAAAGCACTTTCGGAGGTGTGGTCACCCTGGCTGATGGCACCTCCGGGACTGGCCACACACGAGAGGTCTTAGTCCCTAAGATACAAAATAGCGGGAAACTAACACCTCTCATTCTTCCTTCCTTTTTTTTTTTTTTTTTTTCCTGTCTGGACTGAAGTCTCTCTCTCTCAGTCCCATGCAGCTTGCCCCTGGCCTGGGACAAGTTCAGGGTGGAATCTGGTCTCCTTGCTGCTGGCAGCTCACAGGGCTGAGGGGCTTCACCTCCACGTGGGGTGGGTAGTGGGCTCCCAGCGCTCTGAGCAGCTCCCCAGTCCTCCTCCCTTAAGGCCTTTTCTCCCTGACAACCTCTTTAATCTGGCTTCCCATCCTACAGAATCGGGTCTGTTTGACCATCCACTCTGCTATAGCGGGAGTGACTTTTATTGATGCCTAGTCATCAGGTCGTCTGTTCCAGGACCTAGCTTCCTTGTCATGGAGCACAGGCACTTCACTTAACTGGTCTAGAGCAGTCTGTAGTTCAGAGAAGCACAGATGCGTCCAATCCCCATAAATTTCCAGAGTCCAGTGAGAGCAGGAACCGTGAGTGGAGCTTCTGCGTAAGTTGGCCCCAGACACGACCACATCCAGCACCGACATCTCTAAGGTCCAGGTCTGGCTCTTCACTGCACGAGTTCATGTTCACGTCACTAAAGGAGACACCAAAGATTAGACAGTTGACGGGGAAATGTGCATCCACAAAGCAGGAGCAGATGTGGTCGTTACAATCAACCCATCGTTGTTGGGTGCCGTCAAGTTGATTCTGATTCATAGAGACCCCACGAGACTGAGCAGAACTGCCCCATACGGTTTTCTTGACTGTAATCATTATGGAAGCAGATCACCAGGTCTTTCTTCCGCTGAGCTGCCAGGTGAGTTCAAACCGCCAACCTTTCAGTTAGCGGTCCAGCACTTAACCGTTGCGCCACCAGCTACCAGCACCCCCTAAATTGACCTTAAAAAAAAAAAATCAGTTCCCATTGAGTCGATTCCAACTCATAGCAACCCTATAGGACAGAGTAGAACTGCCTCATAGAGTTTCCAAGGAGGAGCTAGTGGATTCAAACTGCCGACTTTTTAGTTAGCAGCCATAGCTTGCCATAACTCTTAACCACTGCACCAACAGGGCTCCAAGTCAACCGTAGGGACCGCCATATGGTGTCGCATGACAATCACACGTTTTTCTCCCACTGGCCTGATGAGATATCAGCCTTCTATCTGGGGTCGGGACACCAACAACGAGCAGATTATCTCGTTTGACAGATCTTTGCCTCCTGAGTGCCCGGTTCTCTGGATGCTGATGGTTCTGTGAGATGATGCAAGGCATGGCCAGGGCTCAGAAACAGCTGTGCTTCTCAACCATCTCGGTTCCCCTTTTATAATCGGAGGCGTAGACTCTGACATCAGACGTGGACTTCAGCACTCACACACAGTTTGCACATGTTCTCAAGTGGCCCCTGGACCCCTGAAGCCCACCCACAGTCCTGTACCCTCTAAGCCCCCTCCGCCCTCCCGACCCCAGGGCTGGCCCCAGCGGGTAGCATCACTGAAGCGCTCTTACCTTCCGGATTGCTGGTTATGCCTAGCCAGTGGCCGGCACCAGAAGGAGCTTGGGAAAGGGGGGTAGCCCCCTCCCTCCTTCCAGGGGTCCTCGTCAGGCAGGGCTCATCAGCCTCAGTAACAGTGCCCTCACTGCGCCTCTGCAGCTCTGGGGGTGCAGCTCCCCCTGTGGCCCGAGGCTGCACCCCCCCTTGCTGGTCCTTGCCACCCCGCTATGATCATCCCCTCCTGGAGCGTGTGCCAGGTCCCTGGCTGATTCGGGCGCAGGTTAGGGACCTTGTCTGTCCAGCAGCCTGTCCACTATTCGCTTTTCCGGACCGCCAAGGCGCCACCCATTTGTGACCTGGAGACCCGAGGCTGACCCCTCTCTGCCCGTGGCAGGTTCTGGCCGGAGGGGGCAGACCCGGATTCAAACCCTCCCTCGTTCATTTTCTAGCAGCATCATCTCGGGAAATGACTTAATTTCTGTGGGGCTTGGTCCCCTGACCTGTGAGCCGGGCAGCAGGGTACGGTGGGGGTCAGTGAGAGGGACGGGGCACGGCCTCCCACACACGGCCCCCGTGGGACCCACCAAGGGAAGGCACTGGGTGATGAGCCCGGTCTGCCGGACGCAGCGGTGGTGGCTGTCCTCGGTCAGCTTGATGCAACACCTGGTCTGGCACTCGTCATGGCGGCTGCAGAAGTCCATCTCTGGCTGCAGAGACGCGGCAGGCCCGCTGCGTGCCCCTCCCTCCCACAAAGGGGCCGGCGTCCCACCCACCTCCCCCCGCCCGCGGGGCTCACCTTGCGCCAAGGAATGCATTGCAGGAAGATGGTCTGGAACGTGCAGACCTTCTGCAGCGCGTTCTCTGTCATGGCGCAGCATGAGCTCTGACACTCCTTGTGCTCCAAGCAGCCGTACCCCAAGGGCTGCAGGCGGCAAAGACCCCGCCTTCCTCCAGGGCCCTCGGGGACGCCCTCCTCCCTCCTCCTGGCCCCCCACCCCTGGCCGCACGCACCTTTCTCCAGGGCAGGCAGCGAAGGAAGATGGTCTGCGGGGTGCAGAACTTCTGCGGGTTCAGGCTGTTGGCCACGCAGCACTGGCTCTGACACTCCCGGTGCTCCCTGCAGGGCTCGCTGATGCCCTGAGGAGGCAGAGGCTCCCAGAACACAGCCCGGGACCGTTTCTTCAGTGGTGGGGTGCCCGGGGGAGGAAGGGAAAGGGAGGGCAATCCCAGCATCTGCTGTGAGCCACACAGGCAGAAGAGTAAACTGAGGCACAGTTAGGGGAAGCCTGTGAGCCGCAGGGCCGGGAGGAGACTCAGCTACCGACGGCAGCCCCGGGCGCTGGCAGCCTCACAACACCCCACATCTTACAGATGAAGTAACAGGGGCTCAGAGGGTGAGGGACCTGCCGAGGTCACAGGGTCAACAGCAGCGAGCCAGGTCCTGTGTCCTTGCGCCGTAAGCCAAGTGCCTGCTGCCTCCTGAGCAGAAGCCAGGGGGAAGCGTGGCCGTTGTCCCTTCGAACAGAGGCTCTCAAAGCTTTTGGTCTCAAAACTCCCTTACAATCTTAGAGAATTAGTGGGGACTCCCGAGAGCTTTGGTTTATGTGGGTTCTCTCTATAGACTTCTGCATTTGACACTAAAATTGAAAAAAGTTTCAACTATTTCTGTATTAATTTGAAAATAGCAATAATAAACCGCTTACAGCTTAACACAAATAGTACATCTGTATGAAAAATAGGTATATTTTGCAGACCAAAGAACAAACTAGTAAGCAGGGTCGCCATGGTTTACATTCTTGCAAATCTTTGACATCTGGCTTAACGGGAGCCAGTGGGTCCTGCTCCTTCCCTGCGTCCTGTGTGCAATGTCACCCATCACGTGGGCAGCCCCGTTGTACGCCGTGAGGGGATGTGAGGGAGAGGGCCAGATGCGTCTCTGTGTTGGTGTGAACGTAGCTTTGACCCCCACAGGCCCCGAAGGGCCTAGAGACCCCAGGTGGGCTGGACCACACGGGGCCCGTTTTCATCAGGGAAAGGTCAAGATCTGATCGGCCAGGAGGCTGCAAATGACCGCTGACGAGACAGGGAGAGCGGAGGGGTTTCACTCAGGGGACAGCATCTGCGCAGTCAGACCCGGCGGCTCGGCCAGTCGTTGGCTGTGGGAAGTGAGCATGGGGTGCTCCGGCCATTGTCTGGGTTTCTGGGGGAACTTCACTGAGAAGGGAACCAGGAGGCAGCCCCTTGGGAAGGATGCCTGAACCCTGACAAACAGACGGGCACTGGGTCCAGTGCCCTGTGTCCCTCTGAGGTCATGATGGCCTCCCCTGTCCTCGGGGGTCCCCACTGTGAGCTGGGGGTACACCCAGCCTCATGGGCTTTCGAGGAAGAGGAGCCACCAACAGCACTCCCAGGCCTGGCCCCCAAGTACCGGCTGTCCCAGGGGACCCCAGATGTGGTACACGTTGCACCTGCCCTTTTGGGGGACCTGGGGAAGGAGGAGTCTGTGCGCCCCGGCTGTGCGCTCACCTTGTGTGTGTAGGAATGGCTCCTCATGCTATTCAGGAACGCCTGCAGCACCAGGGGCGGCAGCAGCAGCAGCGGCAGCGGCAGCAGGGGCCACCAGGGACGGGCCATCAGCTCAGCTCCTGCCAAGGGGACAGACGCGTGAGCCTGCGGCAGCCACCCCATGCCCCTGTGCTGCTCCCCGAAGCCAACCTAAGCCGGCGTGGGCAGCCCCTCCCAGTCACACAAAGTGAGTCTGTGGTGACACCTGTGCCCGGGGCTTGGACAGCCTGTGAGCTGGTTTGGGGGCCTCCCCAGGGTCCCCCCTCAAGAGGCCCTCCCTGACCACCGCCCGTCACCCAGCTCTTGTGGCCACCTGGAGCCACACTGCTCCTACCCAGGGCATGGAACGGTTCGCGTTGAGCCAGAGGCTCTGTCTGCGCAGCATCCCCCTACCCAATGAGGAGCCCCGAAGGTCTGCAGCCCGTGCTCCTGCTCACCCACTCAGCACCCTCCCCAGAAGGTGCCTTCTCAGAGTCGCTGCTCCCTGCAATCCTGCCTCCGCCCCCCACGGTCAGACACCCGGGATCTCTCGTGGACCTCATCCTCTGGGGCCGTGTGGGGGAGAGGCTGTGGAGGCATCTCCAGTCCCCTCTGCCCCTCTCTCTCTCTGCCTGCCTCCCTCTCTCTCTGGCTGTGTCCCCATGTGGTCAGCAGGCCCAGCAGAGCTGACACCCTCTCCTCCTGTCCCCCCGCCCAATGGAAGAGGAGTGGCGTGTGGCCGTCAGCTCTCAGCTGGAGCTCCCTGGTCACACTCAGGGTGGCACCTGGCCATCGCCAGTGACAGGGCTCACTGCGGCACCCAGGTCTTTCTCTGGTGTGACCGTTTCCCTGCCAGACAGTGCACATGCCACACGGCATGGCTCAGCAGCTTTAGCGTGTTCACAGAGTTATGCAGGCATCCTAGTCGGTTTTAAAACATTTCCATCACCAGAAGGAAGCCCTGCGCCCTTTGCTACCACCCCCTGCCCCCACCCCAGCCCCTGGCGGCGTCCGTCTCTCCCGTCAGAGCCCCGGCAGGGAGCGGGAGGGATGCTGAGGCTCCGACTCACTGACGTTTCATCCCCCATAATTTCGCCCTAGGAACGGGAGGTTGGGGGTCCATGAGCGCGGCCTCCCCCTCACACCTCGCCCGTCGCCCCCGCCCCGCCCTTCCCTCCCCCATCACGGTCTGCAGTTGCCCCTTCCACGTTGAGGCTTTCCATTTCCCGGGTGCTGACCCACCCCCCTGGTGCCCTCTGGTGGCCTGCGGCGGCGGCACCCACCCGCCGCCCTGGTCCCTCCGACCTCCAGTCAGGGCAGGATGCGGTGCTGGGGCGCGCCTGTCTGCTGGTGGCCCGAGGAAATCGCTGCACCTCGTGCGACTCGGTTTCCTCACCGGTGAGACAGGGGCTCCTGACTCCACCTCCTGTCGGAAACTTTGGTTCTCAGACAATTCCAGGGAAGTCTCACTGATTCTGCCCTCTTTGTTCATTACCGGGGTTGTTGTGTTGCCAAGCAGAGTTGGATTCTGCTCTGTAAGTTCCCAGACCGTTCAGAGCCACCAGCCAAGCATGACACCCGCCTCCCCAGGCCTCCGGAAATGTCACAGCCCTGGCCGTGGCACGCCCGCTTCTGCAGCCTCGGCCTCCCCACCCCTTCCCCGTCAGTCGCGAGGCCCAGGGCCTCCCCTGCGCTCAGGGATCTGCTCTGGTGAGGGGCAGGCACTTGTAGAGCAGGGCCACCATCCAAGGCCCTGAAAGCGTCAGAGAAGAAGGTGTGCGTGGGAGCACCTCTGCAGGTGGAAGCACCTCTGCAGGTGGAAGCACCTTCTGCACCCCGGAGCTGGGCCCAAAGCAGAGGCAGGCACAGTGCTCACTCAGAGACAACCAGGCCCCCACCCAACTCAGTCAGACGGCCCAGACCCAGAGAAGGTCTAACCAGCCACCACGGTGGTGTTGGGCGTGGGAGGGGAGTGCCATACAGTCACGAATCGAAAGGACTTGGGGTCTGGCAGGTGTTGGGGGCGGTGAGAGGCACGACTTGGGGACAGACCACTGGGAAACTCGACGGGGGTGGAGGGGCACCTGGCTCATTCCTTTCTCTGTCACACTCCACACAGCGGCACATACAAGCCCTGCCGCTGTCTGCACGCCAGGAAGTTATGTTTTCTCTACAGCACTGTCTGTACTTGCCAGTATCTAAGATTGATTTTGTGCCCTCCCAAAAATCCGTACACTGCCCTTATGCCTGTACAGGCTGCTTCCCCTTAGTGTCAGAGCAACACAGCATCTCAGCAAAGATGAAGGAGCTTCATGTCATCTGCCGTGTTCTTAACAAAAATGACAAGTCACAGGGCACACAGTTCCACTGCATTTTGGTTTTTCTATAATTTTATAGATTGGAATTCACCTATAATAAAGCAAAGCTCATAAGTAACAAAGGCATTGTTAGTGCCTTTCTTTCACAATTATTGTTGTTGATTTCAAAAAGGAACATGACCATGCAAATTCAGGGCACTATTTTGATCTGCCGCCAAAGAAATGACAAGGACTTGGAGGAAAGAAAATGCTGCTGGAAGCTGCTAGACATAGCCGACCATGATACCATTGCCTCTTTTTGAATTTTATCTTTAAAAATGCACTTGAAAGCCTATTTCAGCACGTGTATTTGACTCTGTGGATCCTAACAAATCATGGATAACATTTTCAAGGAATGAGAATTCCAGAACACTTAATTGTGCTCATGAGGAACCTGTACATAGATCAAGAGGCAGTTGTTCAAACAGAACAAGGGGATAATGCGTGGTTTACAGTCAGGAAAGGTGTGTGTCAGGGTTGTATCGTTTCAGGACACCCACTCAATCTGTATGCTGAGCAAATAATCCAAGAAGCTAGACTATATGAAGAAGAACAGGGCATCAGGATTGGAGGAAGACTCATTAACAACCTGCGTTATGCAGATGACACAACCTTACTTTCTGAAAGTGAAGAGGATTTGAAGCATTTATTGATGAAGATCAAAGACCACAGCCTTCAGTATGGATTACACCTCAACATAAAGAAAACAAAAATCCTAACCACTGGACCAATAAGCAACATCATGATAAACAGAGAGAAGACTGAAGTTATCAAGGATTTCATTTCACTTGGACCCACAATCAACACCCATGGAAGCAGTGGTCAAGAAATCAAAAGACACATTGCATTGGGCAAATCTGCTGAGAAAGACCTCTTTAAAGTGTTGAAAAGCAAAGATGTCACCTTGAAGCCTAAGGTGCACCTGACCCAAGCCAGGGTATTTTCAGTTGCCTCATATGCATGCAAAAGCTGGGGAATGAATAAGAAGGACCAAAAAGAATTGACGCCTTTGAATTGTGGTGCTGGCGAAGAATGTTGAATATACAGTGGACTGCCAAAAGAATGAACAAATCTGTCTTGGAAGTACAACCAGAAAGCTCCTTAGAAGCAAGGATGGCAAGACTACGTCTCACGTACTTTGGACATGTTATCAGGAGGAATCAGGCCCTGGAGAAGGACATCATGCTTGGTAAAGTAGAGGGTCAGTGAAAAAGAGGAAGACCCTCAACGAGATGGACTGACACAGTGGCTGCAACAATGGGCTCAAGTGTAACGATGGTTGGGAGCATGGCACAGGACCGGACAGTGTTTCGTTCTGTAGTACATAGGGTCACTATGAGTTGGAACTGACTCGACAGCACCTAGCAACAACAACAAGAAGATTTAAAAAAAAAAAAAAAGTTGCCATAGAGTCTACCCGGTCTCATGGCGACCCCATGTGTGTCAGAGAAGAACTCTGCTCCACAGGGTTTTTAGTGACTGATTTTTTTAGAAGTAAACCTTTCTTCCGAGGTGCCTCTGGGTGGACTCCAACCTCCAACCTTTTGATTAGCAGCCAAGCGTGTGAATCATTTGCTCAGGACACCCCCTGAACCAAGGCTACCTCTTTTTGAGCATCACCCCTCAGGTTGGGCTATGCCCACCCAATTGCTCTTAATCCTCATAGCAAAACAGGAAGCTAGGGTTTAGCCTCCTGGTACCAATGAGATAAGGTGATGTCACCTCCCATCGGGCACCCCTGGTGAGAGGCAGAGCTCAGGTTCACCCAGTCCGGCTGGTCCCCGAGTCCTCCCCAGAGGCCTCATGCATACTTACACACAAAAACCAAAAACGCAAGGAGACGCGGGAGATCAGATTTCCCTTGCAGAGAAAATCCCCCTAAGAGTTAATACTTGTGTACATTTCAGTGGTGCTACCTATTTGTCCCAGGTCCTACCTGCTCCTCTGGGTAGAAGTGAGACCAGCTCGTAAGGCTGCTGCTCTCAGGAAAAGACACCAACCCCCAAAGCACAGAACTAACAGGCCTGAGGCCCACAGGTCGCCCAAGGCAAAACAGCATCAGTGAGCTTCATCTCCAACCCAGCCCCTTCTAGAGGCGGCTTCCTTTCTTCTACCTGTTCTGTCTTCACCCCCAGGAGAAAGCCTTTGATCACTCCCTATGAGAACTGAATGTACGAATAGACCACGGCCTGGCAGCCATCCACAATGGCCTGGACCTGGCTCATAGCTGCCAGTTTCCTTAATTTTTGCCCCTGCTTCTAACTCAGGACCCGCAGAGAAAGACAAATATGGTCCCCATGCCTCCAGCCTCCAGCAAGGCACACTGGAAGCTTTACTCACTGGAAGGCTTCCCAGCCCCCTGCCCACCTGTGGGTCTCTGCCAAACGCAGTGATGGGGCTGGCCCCCTGCTAGAGCAAGCTCTGAATAAGGAGCTTCTGCCTGGTCTCATTTGGGCGTTCTGCATTCACCTCCGCACACACGGCTGTTCCTTCAACAGACGTTATTCAATGACTACTATGTGCCACTTGTCCTCTGGGGAGTTTTCCTCCCAAACATCAACTTCAGGTCTGATTTCACAGTATCTTAATCTGCTAAATATTGATGCCAAACACATGACAAAGCCCCCCAAATTATTCCCTAATCCGTGTCCTCTTGTCAACTAGGAGTTCTTGGTCTAGATGGGGAAATGGACCTGTAAACATATAAATTGTGTGGAGTGGGACAGATATCCGCAGGAGGTATGAGGAGGCTGCAGGGAAGGAAGGCACTCAGCACACTGCTAAGGGGAGGGGATCAGCAGGTGACGGATGGGAGAGGAGAGTTCACGGCAGAGGAAGGAGGAGCAGAGAAGAGCCTGGGGTGTTGGGAGCTGGAGTCGCTGACTGGTGCAGGCCAGGGTGGCTGTAATTACAGATGCTCTGTGTGGGAGCCCCTCATTTCCTCCCGGCCCGGAGAGTTTGCATTTAGAGTTTCCATTTGCTTTTTTCATTCTCCTCCCAGGAGGCCTTAAGACATTGTAAGCACTTTGTGGTCTCTTGAAACCGATCAAAAATGGGCTTTTCACTGAATCTGGGAGACTTCAGAGTTCTGTCTTCTAAGAAAGGGACCCGCTTACAACTCAAAGCAATCTTCCAAAGGAAACGCCTTAGCTCCCTTGTCATCTGAGGTGTATTCCTAACAACACAGGGAAGAGTACACATCTCATACAATAAATCATTACACTCTTGTACAGACCTGAGCTCATATAGCACACCTTTTCTTCCAAGAAACGAGAAAATACTTCGTATATCCTGGAGAGAAAACCCGTACACATCACTGCCCACACCTCAGGCTCTTCTCTCCTCTTTCCCCCACCAGGAACTCTCTCCTCTCCCGTCCATCTGCTGCTGGTCACCCAGTCCTCTCTGCAGTGCAGCGGGGGCCACTGTCTCCATAAAGCAGGCCTTCCCAGGATTCGTCCTCAGTGACCGGCTCCTTGGGGGCACCACCTGCAGTGTGGACATGGCCCCTGTTGGTGTTTCTCTCTATCCCTGGAATTCAGACACTTGGCCCAGATGGCTTCAGGTGTGTGTCTTCTTTTAAGTCATCCTGCTTGGGGCACATAAAGTCATGTCGATCTATGGACACGGGTCTTTCTTTAAATCAGAAAAGCTTTCCTCTAATTTATTACTTCACTTAGTTCACTTTCTCCTCTCAAACCCCTCTGATTCAGCCACTTGGATCTGATTCCCATCTCGGGGTTCTGCGCAGAGCCATGTGACACCCCTGCCACTTGGTTTCCAGGACTGCCGTTTGGATTGCAGCAATAAGTATTGGAATCCCAGGGTGGTGCAATCAGTTACCGTGCTCGGCTACTCACCGAAAGGTCGGGAGTTCAAGTCCACTCGGAGGCACGTCAAAAGAAAGACCTGGAGATCTACTTCCAAAAAATCAGCCACTGAAAACCCTAGGGAGCAGTTGTACTCTGACACACATGGGGTCACCATGAGACGGAAGTGACGAGTGATTTTTTGTTTGTCTGGTTTTTACTGGTTATGCTCTCTTTCAGAGATAAACACAAGTCATGTTTGTGGACCCAGAAAGCTATAGTGCTCTCACTGCTTCCCACTGCAAGTCCTCATTGCCTTTTTGTTCAAGATCCCTTCTGGAGCTGTTAACAGGTTACCAATGCCAGATGTGCAGCCTGGCCTTTCCCCTGTGCTGGTTGTTAGCGTGGCTCAGATCAGTGGCAGGTCCCGTATCTTCTGATCTTGTAAGCACAGTGAGCAAGCTGGCCGGCCACGCCCCTGCCAGGCACAGGGGGCACCCTCCCCACTAGGAGCAGCATCCCTTGGCTCCTGGTGTCCATGGGGCCCAGGGGCATGGTGGCCCTCCAGGCCCACTGGCATGATCAGGATGGGGTGAGGCCTCCCTGACCATGGGCCAAGCCCCAGGGGCTGCTTCCCCAGGAGGATCCTCACAGGGGCCATGCTGAGGGTCAGGAAGGGTCATTGGGACCTTGGGTACCATCAGTAGGGGTCACGGGAGGATCATGGGGGTCTTGCAGGGCCTCTGCTGGCAGCCTCACCTGCACCCCTCTATTCAGGGTTTCTCATAGCAGACCCTGCAATGGTGCAGGAATACTTCAGTGAAGTAGTATGATGTCTGGGACTTGCTTCAAAATAAGGGTGGGAATGGGGATATAAACAAAATTTTTTTGAAACTTTGGTTTCTAAGGAAAAGAAAATAAAAAGACCGGAAACAGATAAAAGCTCGGAGTTTGGAGCCACTGCAACAAAGTGACTAGGGCCTGGGACAGGTGGACGGAGGGATTGAGAATCGGACGGCTTGGACAGGCATCTGTAATAAACCAAAAGGGCTTCTGGGCCAAGAAAGGACTTGCAGTTTCTGTCCTGAATCGCTGGGTGGCCGGCGATGCCTTTACTGACACGGGGAAAATTTGAGGCGGGACTCCAGGGTCCGCTTTGGATTTAATCGTGTGGAGACGCCAGGAGGCCGTCGGCTGCTTCCCCGTTTCTACTTGCCGGTTTTTTGAAGACAAGTTCCCATTCCAGTGGATGTCAGTTCCCTGCCGGCGGCGACCTGCTTCCACCTTCGCTCGACTTACCGGCGCCGGAGGCTGCGGGGCTGCTCCGGGGAGGGAGGACGGCACACCTGGGCACACCTGCCGTGCGCTCGCGGTCGGGACCCTGCGGGACGGTGTCGGGGCGGGTCCGGGGCGCGGACAGAGCCCGGGGCGG